CATCCATCCATCCATCCATCCATCCATCCATCCATCCATCCATCCATCCAACTAACCTACTTCCTTGGGGCATCATTTCATTAAACTAACAACCAATAAACACCGATTAAACCCCTACTGAGTACACAACACTTTGATAGGCACTGGGGGAAATACGAAATTTGGAGAAAACAGAGTCCATGCCTATATTATCCTTTTCCCAAACCCCATCCTTCCTCTGAGCTTCTATTTCTGTCAAGGGCACTGCCATCTTCCCAGTCATCCAAATACACAACCTCAGAACCATTCTTATTCTTCCACATGTTTTGTAACCAATCAGTTGACAAGTCTTGTTGATTCTGCATTAATCAGCCATCAAGCAATTATCAAGCACTAGCTGTGTTCCAGGTACTGTGCTAAGTGCTGGGGGTGCTAGTGCAAAGGACGAACTATTCCCCTCAATTCTGAGAAGGCTTTCTAAAAGGAGGAGGAGGAGTAGAGATTGGAGGGTGGAGGGAAGGGGGAAAAGCATGCTATTCCACAAGTTATTCCAGGTAACGGGGGCATCATGGGAGAGGCAATGACATCTCTCCAAATAGTATGGTGGGAAGAATCTTGGCTCTAGAGTCAGAGAACATGGGTTCAAATCCTGCCTCTGTGACCTAGGATAAACCACCTAACTTCCCCAGGCCTCAGCTTCCTCCTCTGAGGTCCCTTCTAAGCTCTAGGTCTCTGACCCAGCAGCCAAGTTCAGGCCCTCCTCACTTCTCACCTGGACTCCTGCAGTAGTCTCCTGATTCTGGTCTCCTTGCCTCTAATCTATACCTTTTCCAATCCATCCTCCACACAGCTGTCAAAGTGCTGTCCCTAAAGGACAAGTCCAACTGTGTCACTCCCTGGTTCAATAAACTCCAGTGACTCCCTATTACCTCCAGGATCACATACAAACTCATGCTCGGCATTTAAAGCCCATCACCACCTAGATTCCACTTGTCTTTGCACCCTCCCGGCGCAGGACTCCCCTTCACGCAGCCTTGGCTCAGCCCAACTGTCCTCATACAACGATTCATTCTTCATCTTGTCTCTGGACAATCTGTCCAGGCCTCGAACACTTCCTTTTCAATGCTCTGCTGACATGCTCTCCAGCATGAGGCTTTTCCTAATCTCCTCCCACCAACACCCCAACAATGACCTTCTACTTAGTTTGCATGTACCCGGTTCACTTGGTTTCTTCAGACGAATATAAGCTCCCAGAGGGCACACATGCTTTCATGTTTGTCTCTGTATCCCCAGCGCCTAACACGGCGGTCGGCACATAGCAGGCGCTTAATAAGACTTGCTGACTGACTGGCTTCAATTAAGTAAAGGACCAAGACCCCACCAGATAAGGAGAGCAGTGGAGAGTCCTAAGACAAAGTCATCTGGGAGGTCAGAGAGAGGAGGGAGGTTTAGACCGGGAGGATCAGGGAGGGAGCCCCAACTCCCAGTTCAGTCCCCAGTCTCCCGTTCTGAAACGAAAGGGAACGCGATTAGGTTAAGGGAGAAATTCTGAAACCCCAGTCCTTGTTCCAGTCCACAGTTTTCGCCCTGTATCAGTGGGAAGCAACAGAATTAGGGGAATAAGCTGTGTGACCCTGGGCAAGTCACTTAACCCCAATTGCCTCAAAAGGGGAAAAAAAAGAATTAGGGGAATAAAAAGTTGGGGCTCTATCCCCCACTGCTGGGGACAAGTTGGTGCCAAGTCTGGGATAAGCCCAAGAGCGCCCAACCTCTGCGCCAAACAGAGCACTCCCTTTGGGTCTCCGGACTTTCCACAGCACTTTTAAACAAACCAGCCATAGGCCAAGGAAGCTCCCTGGCCTAATCCTGTTACAATCAAAGGAAGGACTGAGTCCTAGGGTCCTAGAGGACCCCAGATTTAGATTTGGAAACTACCTCAGAGGTCACCTGGTCTTTCTCCCTTGTCCCAGACACTGCCAGGAGGTGAAGCTATTCGCCCCAGGCCATTCAGGGAAGTGGCCAAGCTTGGATCTGAACCAGGGTCTTTTGACTCCAAATCCAGCGCTCTTTCCACCAGAGGCAGAATTGGGCCTTGGTTCCTCCGAGCCTGGAGACGATGAGTGACTGCTCTTTGGCCTGTACTACTGTCGTGCTCCCTCATCCTTCTCTCAGTTAGCTGGAAGGGAGCCGTGTGGACCTGGCTGTGTCAGGGCAGGGCCCCTCCTGACAGACTACCCGTGCTCAGGACGGCCTGGGCTGGGGACCTGCTGTCATGAGAGGAAATACCAGAAATCCCACCATTTGCTCCACCAAACCTTCTCATAGTCTGTCTGTCTCTCTCTCTCCCTCTCCCCTCCCTCCCCTCCTGCCTCAGCCCCCAAGACAATGAATAGAATTCTAGGTTACCAGAGACTTGTGACAAGAAAAGGGGCACTGGAGAAATGGAGGGCATGAGGGAGAGAGCAAAATGGAAAGGCAACAGGGTTTAGAGACGAGGGCACTGGAATCAAGAAGATCGAGGTTCAAATCCCACACCTGTGACCCTAGGTAAATCACCCAACTACTCTGTGCCTCAGTTTCCTAATTTGTGAAGTGAGGGCGTTGATGGCCTCTGAAGGGGCTTCCAACTCGTGGTCCAGGATTCCACGACCCGTGAGTCCATGGCCTTCTCGGTTGCCCCCAATGCACAGAGATGCCATGGGCCAGTACAAAAAAAGGATCAGAAGTCCCCAAGCTGCACCGCCCAGCTCCTGCCCCGGGGAGGACAGCTTTGCCCATGTCCAAGGCACTTCTTGCTTCAGAGAGCATGGCATACCAGCTGCCAGAGGCGAGCGTGCCAAGCACACGCCCCCCCCCCCCCCAGCCAAACTCCTCAGCCCCTTTCTGGCAGCTGGTCTCTCTACCCCACGAGCTGGTGTCTGCCTTCTCCAGGTGAGGGTCCCTCCATTGTGCCCTGACCTCCGCCACGCAGTCGTGCATGCTCCCAACCCCCTCCCCACCCCTCTCCCGCTCCCTGACCCACAAGCTCTCCAGCTTCTCTCAGCTCTGCCGGGGCAGGGGTGGCGAGAGCCTCTCGGGGGCTGTCCCATTCTCTCCCACCCTCCTAATCACATCCGTGCTCCCCCAATGCTGTCATTCCAAGTAGACAGAAGCAAGCCCAAGGCACCGTGTGGGTTCCCTGTGCACACAATACACGGGCAGCTCAGCCTTCCTCTCTTCTCCTGGGAAACAAAGAAACTCCCAACTTCCCCTTGCAGATGCCTGTGGCACACCCCCCTCCCAGGCTGGGGGCTCCAGCCTTGGCCCCCCCATGGCTCTGGCACTGACCAGCACACTTGCCTCTCTCTGGGCCCACTGGTCACCAGGCCTGGGGCCAGAATCACACTTTTTACTTTCTGCCCTGACCAGCTCCTTCTGAGAGTTGCCCCAAATCTCCCACTCACTGTCATCACCTTCCCTCCAGCCCCTCAGGAGAGAAGAAGAGCATCTCAGTCGCCCGAGATCTGCCGGCAGCTCTCGCCTCCCGTGGCTCCCTGACTAGGGGTCAGAAGCAGGTTCTGCCGAGGGGCAGAGGACAGGTTCCTAGCCACTCCCAGCCCTCTGCCACCACCACATCCAGGCTGCCCCATCCATCGGACACCACCCTGACCAGCTAGTGGCACAAGTATTCCAAGAGAAGCGAGCCACGAGTTACCATAGGTGCAGTTACAGCACAGTCTGATGATCAAGAGAATTTCCATGGCAGCCTTTTCTGCAGGGCGCCCCAACAGCCATCTCTCCCTGCTCCCCGGCTTCCATCAGCAGGCGAGCCACCCAGTCACCTCACCCACCAGCCGGGCACAGCGGCAGCCCCGGCCACGCAGCATCCAGAACCTGACTGCCGCCACCGCTGCTGCCGAACAAGTGAGTGAGCGCTAGGGAGGCTTGGCGGAGCCAGCGGAGAAGGGGGAGGGGAGATGAAAATGAAGTGGAAGACTGGGGAGGGGGAGGAGGGAGCCAGAGGGAATGAGGGACATCACTGACATCCTAATGAGGAAGAGCGCCTTGCAGTTGGCCGGCAGCTTGGGGACACAGGCGGCTGGATTCTCACAAGTGTGAGTGTACGTGTATGTGAGTGCGTGTGTGTGTGCGTGTACACACCCAACACAAACACACAGAACACACATACACACCAGATACGCACACTCAGCAGCACACGTGCTCAGGACCCAGAGAGTCAGACAAAGAGAGCTGAACCACTCCCCCTTCCTCTCCAAATACCTTCCATGGTGATGGACGTGTGGCTGTCCTTGGAGTCCTTGGGGGCTCTGACTTTGAGTTCCTGTCAATGGAAAGAGAAGACTTGCTGAGGAAAGCCCCCCTCCCATTTTGTGCTCCCCACCTTCCCCGGGCCTGCAGACCGTGCTTTCCCCCTACACACTCCCACTGCCGTCAACCCAGCACAATTTTCTTAATGGCTATAGTGAAAAACATTTTTAATTCTTTTTTTTTCTTTTAAAGGCTCCACTTAATTGATGCAGTTCGGTACAGAGGGAAGAGTCCCGGTTCAAATTCCACCTCCCATGTGACCTTGGGCAAAGTCACTTCTCCCTGGGCCTCAGTTTCCTCATCTGTAAAATGAAGAGGTTGGACTAGGAGGCTTTGGAGGCCCCTTTGAGGGCCTCCTAAATGAGGCTCCTCCTCCGTAAGATGAGGTGGGGCAGGGGTCTGGACTCAGCGGCTTCCAAGGTCCCTCCCAGCTCATGATCCTGTGAACTCTTTCCCTCAGAGCCTCAATTTCCTCATCTGTAAAATGGACCAGACGGCTTCCGAGATTTCCTCCAGTTCTAGATCTCTGTCTTAAGGCCCGATCGTGGCACGGAGGTGTGAGCCTAGATCCTTAGATTCTGGCTGGTCCTGAAACAAACTGGAAATGTCTGGGTCTGGAAAGGACCTCAGAGGCGAGCTACCTTTACAGGTAAGGAAACTGAGGCACAGAGTGGGCCGATTCATAGGATCTAGAACTGGAAGGTACCTCAGAGACAATCAAGTCCAATACCCTTTATTATTTTGGGGGGGAGGCAATCGGGGTTCAGTGACTTGCCCAGGGTCACACAGCTAGTTAGCACCCAGGACCAAATTTGAATTTAGGTCCTCCTGACTCCAGGGCTGGTGCTCTATCCGCTTCAACACCTAGCTGCCCCTTATGCCCTTACTTTACAGAACGAGAAATTAAAGGGAGGGGAGGAGAAAGGTTTTGCTCAAAGCAGCACAGGTGATAAGGTGGGGTATGTCCCGGCAGGTTCTCCCCGAGGCCACCTCCCTGAGTCAGGAGGGAGCCGTGCCCAGGGAATGCCAATCAGAAGACTTGTTTGGGCCACCTTGGTAGACGGATTGCCCCAACAGAAGAAACCACAGATCCTTGAGGTACTGAAGACATGAGGAGAAGCCAGAGGGGCAAGAGAAATCAATAGTATGAACAGGGTGATACGCTTTTTAGAGTACACTTTGTCGCTTCATTCCCAGAGCTCAAAGCAACCAGAAATCGATGCTGGCAACCAGAACACAGGTGGAGAACGGAGGAAACCTCAGCCCTTGGGAACGTGGCGAGGCTGGCACTGACTCATGATGGAGACTAGCCCTAACCTAATCTTTCAGCCCTGGAAGTTCTTTCCTAGGGAAAGGCAGGAATACTAGGACCCCCTGGTCCATTTCTACCACACAAGGGGCCAGACACTTTTAACCCAAAGTACACTCTTAGGACAAACTTCTTTTATTCCAACGAAATACCGGCTTCTTCTTCTTCTCTCCCTCCGGGGGCCAAGAAAAAAAAAGATCACAGCCTTCAAGCTGGAAAGGACCATAGACTCCGTCTCTATCAAGCCTTTTACATAAGAGGAAACTGAGGCCCAGACAGGCTCAGGGTCTTGCTCCAGATCACAAACAGGTCAGAGGGGCATGGATGGAGAGCTGGAAGGGTCCTGAGAGGTTATCTAATCCAAACCTTTCATTTTTCTGAGGAGGAAACTTAGGGAGGGGACTTGCCATCCTACTTCAGTCCCTGTGCTAAGGGAGGGTGGGATGCATAGCCCTTCTAGACATGGTCTGGGAGGTAGTTTGCTATATAGGATGATGGACCAGAAGTTTGGAGACCTGGGTTCAAATAAAGCCTCTGCCCTGTATTAACTGGGTGATCAGAGGCAAGTGACCCTAGGAGTAAGTAAACTCTTAGCTTACTTCCTGGGCTAAATCTATGATCCTATTTTATCCCATATGTCACTTAACATCTTAGTTTTCCCCTGTATAAGATGAGGAATACTTTCATTGCTTATCTCACAGAGTTTCTTATGAGGAAAGCACTATAAACTTTGGGGTCATAGATTTAGAGTGGAAAGGACCTTACAAGTCACCTACAGTCACACTTTTATTTTTACAGAATAGGAAACTGAGGCTTAGGGAGGCTGAGTGATTTGCCCAAAGTCCCACAGAGCCAGGATTCAAACTCGGGTCCTGCAATGCCAAGTTCAGCTCTCTTCCCATCACATTTAAAGTGCTATAGAAACATGCTTATTGATTGTCTGATTGACTGGTAATGGTGGTAACTGGGTAACTGGCTTGCCTGTCCTCCTACAGGAGAATCCTCAAAGGAAGACTGAGGTGCTGCAGACATGCCTACTGCTAACTGTTCCTAGCAAGACGGGCACGAACCATCCCTGCCCCAAGTCAACATTGCCAACAACCTGACACTGGCAGGGAGACTGAGGGATGGGCGGGAGGCCATGACCAGCTCTCACCTTGCAGATGCTACAGTACATGCTGGGGGAGATTGCAGGGGACTGCCTATCTGATCTAAATCCCCTTTGTCAGCCTTTGTGGCTGTCATGGAGCTCTGCTCTCTGCAGATCCTGCCCCAGCTCATGCTCCCAAGGATAATGGGACTGAAAAGTACAGTCCTGTCTGAAATTAGAGCTGAAAGGTGATCCTTGAGGAGAAAGTGGATGAAGGCCTAAAATCTGGGCTGAGGAGGAGGGGGACAGGTGGAGAGGGAAAGGACAAAGGGTCGGGGCATCAAGGTGCTGCTACCTGCTTCCATCAGCATCCTACCAGAGGCTGGAAAGCACTGGAAAGGTCCCAAGGGACAGAGCTACCCCACAGGATGCAATAAAGGATCAATGAGGATCAGGTCAGGTCCCCGAAGGACAGGAGGGAAAGGCAGGAGAAACTGACAAGGACTGTAAGAATTCTATGTTTCCTTTTCTAGCTCCAAGCTGTTTCTAGAGAGAAAAACCTTGGAGAAAAAGACTAGAAATGGGACTTCTCTAGAAAAGCAGGAGGTAGGACTGTGTTCCCTGGGGCTAGAGCCCAGCTCTGCTCTCTCAGAGTCTCTGGGGAATTATCATTCCCAGCAGCCTCAGCCTGGAAGTATGAAATCACTCTGACAGCCCAGAAGAAGAGCCTAATTACAGTAATTAAGTGACAGAGCAGAGCAGAAAGCACCAATGAGTCAGGGAGAGAGGACTGTCACCACATGGCTACACCTGGCAGGCAGCCCTCAGGCCTGAGCTTTGGCCTTGGGAACGTGTGGGTGTGCAGGGCTGCTAGCTGCACTACCAGCCAGGGGCACTAGGCATTAGTCTGAGGCCCAGACTCCCCAAGGAAGGAAGGAAGCTAGGGCCCCAAAACACGGGACCAAGGTTATAGAGATGAAAAGGATCTCAGAAGCCATCTGAGTCCCATCCCCTCCTTTTAGAGAGGAAAAACTGAGGCTGGGGTGGGTGGTTTAAGTGGTTTGCTCAAGGTGACACAAAGATTTGAACCCAAGACCTCTGATTCTAGTGTCAGGGCTCTTTGTGTTATACCAGCTCTTGTGGATGCCTTCAAAGGAGGCCATGAAGGGCCCCGGGGCACATGTGAGAAGACCCAGGAGCTATTCCATTGAACGGGAAAAGCTACTGAGCATGGAATCATGGAATTGGAGCTGGAAGGGACCTGGGAGCCCATCAAGGTCAATAAATGAGGTTCCTGAGGTTAAGTGACTTGCCCAAAGTCCCACAGCTATTTAAGAGTCAGCGGTAGGATTGGAGCCTTGGCTCTCTTGCCCCAAAGTTCAAGGCACAATGTTGCCTTTTGGAATCAAGAAGCTGAGGGCTCTGGTGGACAGTCAGGTACCTATTAGCCCTGTGAAGTTAGGAAAGTTGTTTGATCTCACTGTGCATCAGTTTCCTCACCTATAAAAACGAGTAAATGGTTTTATAAACTGTAAAGCCCTCACAAAATCTGAGACACTCCCTGGGAGAGCAAACACTCATCTTGCCAGCTTTTCTTATACAAAGGCAAAGACATGGAAAATGAAGGGACAAATTCTGATCCTCCAAGTAGCAAAATCATTCTGTAGTAGCAGGACCAGCCCACGTGATCTTGAGGTCGTTAACCCCAAGCTTAGAGTGGATGGGCTATAAAAATGAAATGCTAACAGATCAGGGAGGCTCCCTGGCAACCCAAAGAAACCCCTCTGGGGCTGGGCTATCAAAGTCGCTGATACAATGGATAAAGGACACTGGTATCAGAGGTCCTGGGTTCAAATACTATCTCTGACACTTACTACTTAAAGGACTTTTGGAAAGTCATGTAATTTTTCTGAGCCTCAGTTTCCTCCTCTGTAATATAAGGAAATTAGATTAACTGGCTTCTGAGATCTCTTCCAGCTCTACAGTAATGATCCCTATTTACCTTCCCCCAATGGCTCCACTTGGAACCTCACCCACCATGATCTTCCTTTCCCAACTGGGCCTTGCCATCTGCCCTGCAGTTTTCCCCTCTTCACCATGCTGAATGAGAGTGTGGACTCCTTGAGAGCAGGGGCTGTTTGGATTTTCTGCTTCTACTCTTAGCCCTTAATACTGTGCTTGGTTCATCATGAGCGTTTACTCAATGCTTTCCTATTCCATCCTATGCTCTTTTGTCTTTCCAGACCTGTGGTGACAGCACGGTGCAGAGGAAGGATTGTTACATTCAGAGTCAAGAGACCTGAGTTTAAATTCCCAGCTCTACCATATACTATTCGTGTGACCTTGAATGAACCACTAACCAGGTGAATTCTGATTCCATGTTCAGATCTTGAAAGTGACCATTCCTCAACTCAACCAGATTCCCCCAAAGGGTTCTGGACTCAAGGAGCTCCTGTCCTCTCCACTCTGAAGGACATTTCACAGAATGATAGAAGTCCAGAGCTGGGAAAGACCTTAAAATTTAGCTAGTCATGGGATCATAAACCTAAAGCTGGAAGGGCCATCTAGTCCAACCCACTGTTTTACAGATGGGGAAACTGAGGCTAAGAGAGATTATGTGACGGGGCAAGATTTGAACCTAGGTCTTCCTAATCTCAAGACCAGACCACTTTCACACCACACGACTTTCATAGTTCCCTAGGCTCAAGGAGCTCTGCCTTCCTCCATTCTGAAAGGATTGGACAGAAACCTAGATGTTAGAGCTAATAGGGACCTGAGAGGTCATTTAGTCATAGGAACACAGACGCAGTGCTAGGAAAGACCTTGGGAACCACCTAATCCAACCCCACCATTGTTCTGAGAAGGGAACCGAGGTCTGGGGATGGGGACTGACTTGCCCAAGGTCACACGATGAGTCAGTGGCATGTGCTTTCTAATTTTCCTTGCTCTTCCTGCTCCCTAATCTCAACCAAAAAAAGTAAAGTGTGGAGGGTGGGGGGCAGCAAATCAAGAAAACTGACAATCCCAAACTGAGAAGCGAGCAAAAGAACATGCCAGGTGTAGGAGAGGGATTGGTAGTTTAAGCATCAGCCAATCTGAGAAGCTGCTTCTCAGTCTGGCAATCAGGGAGGAAATAGCCCAATCTGGACAGCTCCCAAAATATATTTTCAGTCTTGGCCAAAGGGTGTCCCCCAAGCAGGAGAGAAGCTGCTCACCTCGGAGATCTTCTGGAACTGGTTGTTGGACTGGCTGCACTTCTCGGCCGTCTCCAAAGCGATTTTATAGTTATCCACAAAGGCTTTGTACACGCCAAGCTGGCTGGCCTGGAGGACAGAGATGGATAGGGAGAGGGGAAGAGGGGTTGGCAGAAGGAGAGGAGGGGATGGAGAGAATGAATGAATGATTAATCAGAACACCTGGAGAGCTGGGAATAGCCAAGATACTCCAGAGCAGTTCTGAAGGTTTGGAGGTGGGGGTGGTGGGAGAATAGAAGGGATGGAGGCTGAACAGTATCCCTTTGAATGAGATTCAATGGTTTCCATGGAAACCAGCTCAACCCATAAGGGTTAACAAGGGGGCACTGGGGGCAGGGCAGTGCCATCTCAAGCATGCTGAGAAATTTAAGCCATCATGGCATTTGCCTTTTTTTTCCTCTTTTTGAAAAAGCATTATCAAAGGTCTTGATGGGTTTGAAATCCCTCTGTACTTCACAATGCTTTCAGGGCTTAGAATTATCTCTAGGAGAAAGCAAGGTAGGGAGGAGAGCGTGTGTGTGTGTGTGTGTGTGTGTGTGTGTGTGTGTGTGTGTGTGTG